TTTTTTAAATTCTGGAAGAACTACTCGTGCCGTTAGTGTTGCTATGGAGCCATCGGATGACTCGACTTGTAGAGTCATCTACACTTATTCACCAATAGTGTATTGACACGTATCCTACAATAAATACAATTTGGACATGTGTCAATACATTTAAGTGGTGGATTATTCCATAAGAAATCATCTGATGGTTACATAGAATTTTTGCCCGTGCCAGTTTGTTGAAAATGAGAATCAATTAGAGGCAAAGCTTTAGTGTTGATTCTTCATACATTTATGGAATTATATGCAGTTCTAAGTTCCAAAAAATTGTTTCTTTAGAGAGGGATTTGAGTCGATATTTTCTCAACGGGTAAAATACGTGGCGCCCCTTTGTGTTTAACGAAATGTGCGAGTTTTTACCCCGTGTTTTATAAAATGCACCAAACCCCCTTATATTTAAGTAATTGTTGCACGATTTTTCCATTCCGTCCAACTTAACAGCGCGTGTAAGACACCTTCTCCAGTTGCGAGAATTGTTCAATTTTTTTATTTTGCAGAATTATTAATTTACATTTATACCCTCCTGAGTTTTATTGCAAAAGTTAAAATTATAGTAAGTGTGGAAGGTAGGGTTCAAACCCAGGTCTAAGGGTAGAGGAAGCGCACCACAACCACTAGGCTACATTAATGGTTGAGTAAACTATTGAACATAACGATATTTATAATATGATACATAAATAATGAAATAAAATAAAATAATGTATAATAGGTAAATAATTAATAATAATAATAACTCGCAATCAATTAAATTAATATAAAAATAATGAAAAAAATTAAATTAAAATAAAGTAAGATAAAACTTGATATAGTATCTATTAAAATTAAACAAAATTATATTTATAATTATTAGAATAAATTCATTATATAAATTTTAAATGAAAAAATAATATAAAAGTAATTAAAAAAAATAAGTAAAACAAAAATAGGTTAAATAAAATAAAAATGATAATTGTATAAGGTAATAAAGTATAAAAATGATAAATAAAATAAATAACCAAATAACTTATTATGAAATAATAAATTGAAAAAAAAAAAAAAACTTATATATGCATTTTGAAATGAAAAATAATACTAATTAAAATTATAAATAAATAAAATTAAAATAAACTAATTAAAATAAAATAAAAGTAACAATAATATAAGATAATAAAATATAAAAATTGTATAAGTAAAATAACTTATGTGAAATATTAAATTAAAATAAATATAAATCATTAATTAATATAATCAAAAAAATATATAATTTATCAAACAATTTTAATATGATTTACTATTACATACATTATGAAATAAATTATAACTTTTTAAAAAATGATTTAATTATAAATAAATAATTTTAATTTTTATATTTTATTTAGTAAATTTTATTTTAATTTTATTTCCTTGTAAATAAAGTTCGTTAAATAAGGTAAAAAAAATGAATAATGCAAAGAAATAATATAAAATATAAACTATACGAAAATAATTTTAAATAAAAAAACAAATATATTTTAACTATAATTTATTTATATTTATTTTAATTATTTTATTTCTGTTTATTATAATAAGTTATTTAATATTTTTTGTTTAAT